ACTCTTGGGCTACTCTTTTACCAACGAATAGTGGGATTGGCCGTTACATTATAACGCCCCTACGGCTGAAAGAGCGAGCATGTTTGGTGGGACGGGGATTCGAACCCGCGACCTGCAGATTGCGAGTCGAGCGCCCTAACCACATGGCCATGCCGGTCCATTGTTTGTTAGGTGTTGATAAATGTGTAAGAAAAAAAAAACTTTGAGAGAAAAGTGATATTATTGTTAAGTTATCCTCGTTTGCAAAACTCTGCATTATAGATCGGTCAATATAAGAAAATGCACGTGAATTGATTAGTATATTAGAACAACAACCAATCACTCGGTGACTACAGTAGCATGTTTAGAGCTGACTCTGAACTTCTACAAACAACTGGATTGGCCAGTTTTTTCTGGCTACGTTTCAATAAGTGGTGTGACGTTTGTCTTTACTAAGAAATCCGCAGAACGTAGAAGTACCGATTTGTTGGTAGTTTTTGTTTGTTTGTTGGATTTCGCGCAATGCTACACGAGGCTTACCTGGGCTAGCTGTCCCTAATTTGAAGTGACGGACTAGAAAGAAAGAAAGCAACTATTCAACACTACCTACCGCCAACTCTTAGGCTACGCTTGTCAAACTGAATACTGGAATTGACCCCCATTCTTTTAACGGTCCCAAAGTGCGGAAAGCGATTTGGGGGGGGGGGGTGAAGGGGTAACTTGATGCAAACCGTGGAACTTCAGCTCCACAGGCTGACACGTTAATCACTGAACCGTGCTCGGGAATTTTTGTTCATACGCCCCCCCCCTCTCTCAACCCTTTCTTTAACTCACCTTTTTTTATATATATATACTTGATTTAACTCAATAACATATTAACAAAAAAAAAAGTTTGGTTTGATTCTGTGTGTTTTTTTGTTTGTTTGTTTTTGCATATAAAATTACGTTAAATTAACATATGATTTATTAATTTTTGTCATTTATAGCAAAAAAAAACTCGTGTGTCCAGAGTCAAGTATACTCGCCAGTGCGTGTGTCCAGAGTCAAGTATACTCGCCAGTGTTAAATTTTTTGACACATTAATTCACATGGAAAATAATGACGGGG